GTTGGAAAGAATTTACAGTTGTTCTAATTGTACTTGTGCTGATCTTAGCCTTGCTGAAATCTCATGCCACTAGTTGTGCTCCATTGGTCCTCTATTCCAAATCAAGTAGTGCTCTTACCTGTGATTCACGTCTTTTGTTTATTGTTGAAACTGGGGTTAATTGATTGTTTAAGTCTCCATAAATCTGTGTTGTACGTTATCTTCATTATCTAGCTTAGCTTGATGGAAGGAATAGTGTTTCTATATTTTTAATATTAGGTCCTCTAATCTTCGTTATCTTCATTATCTTAGATTGATGGGGTTAATTGATGTAAATTTAGGTCCTCTAATTCTTGCTCTAGTTTTCATATTTATTCAGTTGAGAGCTCTGCTGATTTTGTGTTTCTATATTTTTTTGAATTTGTAATTGATAGATTAAGATATGACTACGGATTGAAACGATATTAAGTTAGGGGAAATAGCAAAGGAACTTAGTCTTTATTTTAAATTTCCCAGTGTTTATGAATTTTAAGCTTACAAAAGTGTCTCGTTGCCTTCTTTTCTTTTCTTTTCTTTTCTTTTCTTTTCTTTTTTTTTTTTTGTGATTTGTGATTTTTGTGCTTAATTTTAATTTGATTTTGTTTAGCCCTATCCCCAAATCTATTTCTTGTGCTAAGAGTTTGGCTTGATGGTGTTGATTTCTAGTTTCTATAATTAAGTTTGCTTCTTGCGATTTCTTGTATTTTACTTCTTCTTCATTGGAAAGGACAATTCTAGAATTCTTGTCAAGTTCTCTAGATATTTTTGCCTTGTGTTCTTCAAGGAAGACGAAGGCTGCACAGGTTTTTTTTTTTTTTTACCAAGTCATGTTTTTAAGTCAAAGTCAACACTTTGTTAACGGAGTAACAAAAACACAGATGGAAAGTTGATGTTTTCTAATGTCATCCTTTACAGAAGGGTTGATATGCGGATTCTGAATAATAGAGGGCTGACTTGCACCGCTTTAAGCAGAGGGGCTGACAACTGCTGCCCCAAAATTCAAAGAGCTACTTATTCGCCCTCCCCCCCTCCCTTTTTTTTCTTCCCCTCCCTTTTTTTTCTTCAGACATTAATTTGTATCTAATCTGATAGAATTATAATTCCAATGAATTGGTTTGGTTTTCCCAATCTGGTGATGTAGCCGCATCCACTGAAGCATGTCCCTAAATTCACTACTAGAAAAAGGAATATCAGCAATGTACTTACACGTTGCTAAAAGCATGTACTACGTTATTGAAAGTAGATTGAAAGTAGTGCAGCATTATTTAATAAGTTGGTGATTATCTATTTGGTGATGTTTTCCTTGATAATACTTAAACGACATGGAAAGTCATGCTGAACGTGTGTTACCAGGACAGGACCGTGGCAGAGTTCTTGCAAAAAAATTAACGAGACATTCCATGTCGATGAATGTCTTAATTCATAGGCGTGATATATAATCTTAAGTCTAGGTGCACGTCACAAATTGCATGTGTTAATTTATCAATGTCAAAAAACAAGAAGACATATCACGTCTAATGTGATACACAATGCTCTCTCTTTATATATATATATAAACTCAAATTAATTGCATCGATTTCTAACATAAATTTACGACGTAATATACAACGCTTCACCTAAATTCACCAATAGGAATTACAATGTTACCTTTCTGAGCCTAAAAAAACCGTATAAGAAAATTTTCCTCCTACCATATATTATTTCTACATATACCCTAAACATCTAAACAATATTGTACAATTTCATCAACATTTTTATTTTATATATTTCCATAATTTCATTACCATTAACCTCAATTTGAGCAACATTTGAACAAATTTTCAACATTCATTCCATAAATCTCAAACAATATATTTTCTTACTATAAATTAAGCAATACAAGAATAGGGAAAAATTATTAAATTGCAATAATTTATCCATCATAAAATGATATATGCATGTTCTCTCTCTATATATATGTATACATATATAAGTGTATATCAATTCTAACTCTCAAAATAAATTAGAGTTCTAACCTTAAATTATGTCATTTTATTTAATTAAAACTTAATTTAAAATTTGAAAATCAAATGTTGATATTTAAGTTTGAAAACTAATTATATTAAAATATATAATCAGTTTTTAAATCTATATATTAACATTTAATAGGGTAAATTTTTAAATTTTGAATTGAAATTTTAATTTCCAAATGTAAGTTAGAACTATAATTTTTTTTTTTAAAATCAGGATTAATACATACTAATCTCATATATGTATATATGTGAGTAATGATTCATTCATTTACATACTAAGTTTTACACATCACACTACATATATATGAGTAATGATTCATTTACATACCAAGTTTTACATATTACACTTATATAAAATCTCAACCATTTATCTTTTTACTTTTAATAGTTAAGATTTATTCACATTTATTATAAATAATTATTATTTTTATCTAAAAAGTCATGATAAATTTCAAAAGTGAAGAAATGAATTGTTGAAATTTTGTGTAAGTATGATATATAAAACTTTTGTGTAAGTTGATCTCTTATATATATGTATATATGAGATTAATACTTATCTACTTTACCTCTTAAAAATTAAAAGGAAAATTATGCTAAAACTATGTTATTTCAATAAAATAACTCAAAAAAAAAAAAAAAAGAGATAAGGAGTAGTTTAATTCATACTTTAAAAATATAATAGTTTTGAAAAAATTTATCTTACTTTTTGAGAGATAAGGTGAATTTACACTATTTTCTTTATAAATATATAATCAAACCTTCCAAAATTAATACAAACAAATCTCAATTCACCTACATTAGTTAGTAAAATATATACTAACAAATAAAAAGAAAAGGATTTTAATAATTTTTTTATTAGCAAAATAAAAATTTTATTATAAGTGGAGGACAAAGGGCACTCTTGTCCATTTTAAATAATTTGTACAAGGTGCATAAATACCAAAAATGCAAATCCATGTCACAACCAATCAATAGATGGTATCAAAGTTTAACGACCAAGAAATAAATTGAGTTGAGAGAGTGAGAGATGAATAGCAAATGTTACTAAGCAAGTGAGAGCTATTTATACTAATTTTTTGAAAAAAAAAAAAAATCATTGATGTATCTTATGACGTTACTTTGTTTAAGTTGAAAAGTAGGTATAGCTATTAGTCAACTTAATTTCAAACAACATTTTGAGCCACCTTGATGTTGTTTAAATTCATCAACGTGGCACACCTAAGGGTAGTACTGTTAAAGAATTTAGCATTGCTTGTCACCAACATGTATGACCTTGCTAAATTCTCTCACTACTAGAAAAACCTATCAAGGCATATCATGTCAGTAAAATTTTATTTAACAACTTATTTTACAATGTTGATTGTCAAGTCATCATAACACAGTGGAGAATTACTGTTTGACCATCTAGCATTTTATTATGCATCAGTAATTGTGCACTATCACCTATGTGCCAATGTATGTTGCTGATACTTACTTGCTGATTATTTGTTATGCGGCAGAGTAGGATTCTTAAAGTCTTATTCCCTAAACAAACATAAAGGCACAATATATATCTATCTGGCACATCAATGGAATTAGGTGATGTAGTATGTTTTTGCAAAATATCCAATAATTGTGCTGGTTCTTAGAAACGTTGCAGTTCTGTTCTTGGCCCCAATGACACTCATGGAACAAGCTAGTTTACATATGGTGCAACCTAAAGTGGGACTCACATTGCACTTGATCATCTTCTCCTGCTCCTTACACTTCCACTTTTTCCAGCCATGAGACAAAGCATCAGTGGCATGTCCCACCCACAATAAGGATGTATGATGCTGCCTTTTATGTGACTCATATTGCACTTAATAATCTTCTCCTGCTCTTTACACTTCCACTTTCTCCAGCCATGGGACAAAGCATCAAGGACATGTAACATCTACAATAAGGATATGATGCAACCTTTTAGGCGACTCACTACTCTTTACACTTCCACTTTCTCCAGCCATGGGACAAAGCATCAAGGACATGTAACACCTACAATAAGGATATGATGCAACCTTTTAGGCGACTCACTACTCTTTACACTTCCACTTTCCCCAGCCATGAGACAAAGCATCAATGATAAGTGACACTCACAATAAAGATATGGTGCAACCTTTTATGTGACTCACATTGCACTCATTATTTTATCATGCTCTTTACACCTCCACTTTCTCCAACCAATGGACAAGGCATCAACAGCATGTAACACAAGCAAGTATTAATTGTTACTTACATTTAATTTGGTATATATCTTGGCTTTTAACACACACACACACACATATGACTATATATCCATTTACACACAAGTCTTACATACTACATTTATATAAAATCTCAATCATTTATCTCTCAACTTTCAATATTTGAAATTTATTCATATTTATTAAAAATAATTACATTTTTCACTTAAAAAGTCATGATAAATCTCAACTATTAAAAATGGAGAAATAAATAGTTGAGATTTTTTGTAACGGTAGTATGTAAAATTTGTATCTAAGTGGATCTCTCCTCTCTCTCTCTATATATATATGTAAGTGTTTTACAAGTTATTTTTTTTTAAAATTTTTTTTGAGTGGTTTATCTAAAAATTCATCTTCTAATAATAATTTTAAAAACCAATTAGATTAAAAGTTTTATATATATATAGATCATGCATGTAAATTTTTAAATTGATAAAGTAGGTCTAAAAAGTTTGTTGATTGCACACAATTCAACATTATTAAATATATGTCAGTAAATAGAGTTTTTTTAATTAAAGGGTTATAAGTGTTATATCAATATGAAGATTGAGATATATGATTTACATAAATAGAATTTTTAATCTAATG